ACTCCACTCCACTCCACTCCACTCCACTCCACTCCACTCCACTCCACCCCACCCCACCCCACCCCACCCCACCCCACCCCACTATTCTATTCTATTCTATTCTATTCTATTCTATTCTATTCTATTCTATTCTATTCTATTCTATAAAAATGCAGCCCTCAATACAATTAAAATTGTGTCGTTCTTTGATGCAATCTTTGTATTAAGTATGGGTCGGTGTGTGTGTGTGTGTGTGTGTGTGTGTGTGTGTGTGTGTGTGTAGGGTAATATATTTTCTTTTGAGAGTTCCACCCAGCCTCCAGAGATTAGATGAGTGGGGCATATGCGCATGGATTGGTACTATCTTTTTTGTTTTTCTTGTTTTTAATGTTGTATGTTTTAACCGAAGTATCTTTTGCAATTTTAAAAATGATTTTATTGGGAGCCGCCCTGAGTTGCCTGAAAAATTTGAAAGAGGGGTTCAAAGAGGCCATCTGTGTCCAAACTGAACAAGCCTTTCTCAATAGAGGGGGAGGGATATGACATCTATTGCCAGTCTACAACACAATCCTTTCAGCAGTTCCAAGAAGGCTCCACACCCATTTGCATCACTCAGATGACTCTGAGGACACAGATAAACATCCAAGTGGCCTCAATGACCCTCTAAAAGGATGCAAATGGCCAGCTGTCTGCAAGGAGCATAAATCCTTCCCTTCCCCACCATCCAGTCAGAGCTGAAGAAACTTCTTAGATGAGAAGCGAAACGTCTTCAGTTGCCTCTTGAAAAAGCACCTTTGGGACAACCATGACCTGGATGATTGAGAAGCTCTATAGACATTGTCTTAAATGAAATAGCAATAGCATTAGACTTATATACCGCTTCACAGTGCTTTTACAACCCTCTCTAAGCAGTTTACAGAGTCAGCCTCTTGCCCCCAACAATCTGACTCATTTTACCCACCTCGGAAGGATGGAAGGCTGAGTCAACCTTGAGCCTGGTGAGATTCGAACCGCCAAATTGAAGGCAGCCGGCAGTCAGCAGAAGTAGCCTGCAGTACCGTACTCTAACCACTGCGCCACCGCGGCTCAAATAAAATAAGTTAACAGAAATAAACGCACAACAAAAATGTTTTTTAAAAGGACAAAAGAGAGGGTTGTTGTTTTTTAATGAAAGATTTCTGAAATGGGTGACAGTCGTCGCCATTATGTAAAGAGCGTTAACGTTAACGATTTTTGTTATGGTTCTGGAAAAATCAATAAGCCTTTCGGCTTTTCTGTTGAAAGCGACCAACGACAAACAAGCACACAACCAAGAAGAAATCCTTGGAATCACTAAATGAACGCGCTTCGAATGAATTATTCATATATTGTTTCCAAAGGGACGACGGCTTAAGGGATTGAATGCAAGCTTACCTGTGTGCTGGAATCCGTCGATCGCCTGCCACCAATACCACATCGCACAGTTGCTTGTGCCTCAGGTAGTTTTCCATTTTTTTAAAGGTTTGCTCTGCATGGTTGAGTGCTTGAAAAAATTCATCAGACGTGCAAGGCTCCATCGGACGACACGGCAGGCAAGTCTCTCCGCTATGGGAAGTTCTGGAAATGCAAGGCGTACGCAAATGGATTAGAAGAGGGATTTATAGTGCGGGTTTTAAAGGGAAGCAGCAGGTGAAGCTAAGCAGAATCACATCAGATACCTGTACAATTAGCACAGGGGTCCCCCAAGGCTGTGTGCTCTCCCCACTTCTCTTCTCTCTCTATACCAATGACTGCATCTCAAACGATCCATCTGTTAAACTACTGAAGTTTGCAGATGACACAACAGTGATCGGTCTCATTCGAGACAATGATGAATCCGCATACAGACGGGAGGTTGAACAACTAGCCTCGTGGTGCGACCGGAACAATCTGGAACTGAACACACTCAAAACCATAGAAATGGTGGTGGACTTTAGGAGAAAACCTCCCATACCTCTCACAATACTAGACAACACAGTATCAACAGTAGAGACCTTCAAATTTCTAGGTTCTACCATATCTCAAGGCGTACAATGGACACCCAACATCAAAAACATCATCAGAAAAGCACAACGAAGAATGCTCTTTCTGCGCCAACTCAGGAAGCTCAAACTGCCCAAGGAGCTGCTGATATAGTTCTACCAGAGGAATTATTGAGTCTGTCATCTGCACCTCCATAACTGTCTGGTTTGGTTCTGCAACCCAACAAGACAGACACAGACTTCAGAGGATAATTAGAACTGCAGAAAAAACAATGGCTACCAACCTGCCTTCCATGGAGGACCTGTATTCTGCACGAGTCAAAAAGGAGGGCTATGAAAATATCTACAGACCCCTCACATCCTGGACATAAACTGTTTCAACTCCTACCCTCAAAACGACGCTATAGAGCACTGCACACCAGAACAACTAGACACAAGGACAGTTTTTTCCCCGAACACCCTCACCCTGCTAAACAAATAATTCCCTCAACACTGTCAAACTAGTTACTAAGTCTGCATTACTATTAATCTTCTCATCGTTCCTATCACCCATCTCCTCCCACTTATGACTGTATGACTGTAACCTTGTTGCTGGTCTCCTTACGATTTATATTGACTGTTTCCCTATGACTATCATTAAGTGTTGTACCTTATGATTCTTGACCAATGTATCTTTTCTATTATGTACTCCGAGAGCGTATGCACCAAGACAAATTCCTTGTGCGTCCAATCACACTTGGCCAATAAAGAATTCTATTCTATTCTAAGACAAAAAGAAAACGCACTTCCTTCCGTCTTCGACAAAATGCGGGCTCTCAAAAAGCTACTGACACTTTGTCAAAAGACTCTTATTTTATTAGTCGCTGAACTGACGGGAAAAGCTTTCTCAAGATTTATGGTCTTTATGACATGTATTTTTGCATTCCCGCTCATCCAAGCACTGTGCATGGATGGGAAGCTGAAAATAACAGGGTGGCATCTGAAGAGGCTACAAAAATTATGACAGAAGATGAAGAGTAAAGATGTTGTTGGGTTTTTTTGCACCAAAATACATATAGAGACTCGCTGATGGTTTGACTGCACGCAACCTCCAAAAGGCCAAGAAATATTTTTCCGAGCTCCAAACCTTTCCGTCAAGTCAACCGGAGAACCATTGAAATGGACAATTTCTGCCTGGGGAAAGCGGTACATCGTTCAGCGAAGTTGCAATTAATGGCGCTCGCGTTTATAGGATCATAATTACGTTTCAAAATTAGCAGGCTATAAAGAAGACGTATAGGCAGTTAGAAGGAAGAAGGCCGCAGCCGTTTCTCGTTTTATGTTCTCACATCAGCCAGGGGGAAAAGCAGGAAAATAGTTTAGTTATTAGCAATGACCCAGCCAGGATGTCTGTGAAGTTAAGACTTCTGTACATCTGCCTAAAGAAGTATTTTACTGATTGGAATTCATTAGAGGAAGATTTTATTAAGGATGGGGAAGGCATTTTTCAATGCACATTTCAAACCATCTTATTTATTTCATGAGTATCTCTTGAACTGATACATTAATATTTGAGAAGACGGCAGTTTGGATTACTGTACACGTAGTACCAAAACACTGTGGGGTCCTTGGTTCTCTCTGAGCTTCATTGTTCTCTTGCAGACATTTAATTACCCAACTAGGCAACGTCATCAGTGCTGGTAGGGAGGCTTGCTCTCATTTTATCTGTATACTAGCTAGCCCTGTCAGTGTTGGTGACAGTCGTCTTGATGGAGATGTTTTAAGTACAACTTTAAGAAGTTTTTTTTTTTAATGGAATAAACAGCCAGAGAATAATAAAATCTTTGATTTTAGAGTGTTACCAACGGGCTAAATTTAATCTCCGGTTAAATTTGTAATAAGATTTTGGAAATAATTATGAAGAATCCCACCCTTTTTATTTATTTTTTTCTTCTATTTTTTAAAAATTCATATTTGTTTTTTTTAATTGTTAATTATAATCTTTAATAAATTTACTAACACAAATGAAAAAAATGACAGTTGTAATAAAAAGAAAAATCAAACCAAACCAATGTTATAATCTAAAACTAAGCTACTATTAAAAGTAATTTAAGCTTAAACTAAGAAAGAGCATAACTCTGCTCTCAAAATTAATACGTAATTAACCAGGATGAGCCCCGGTGGCGCAGTGGTTAGAATGCGGTATTGCAGGCAAACTCTGCCTGCAGTTAGGAGTTCAAGTCTCACTGGCTCAAGGTTGACTCAGCCTTCCATCCTTCCGAGGTGGGTAAAACGAGGACCCAGATTGTTGAGGGCAATAGGCTGACTCTGTAAACCGCTTAGAGAGGGCTGTAAAAGCACTGTGAAGTGGCATATAAATCTAAGTGCTGTTGCTATTCACTATTTGACGTACAAATGTAAATGGAACAATGCAAGTACTGGCCATCCTTCAGATTACAACAATAGCACTTAGACTTATATACCGCTTCACAGTGCTTTTGCAGCCCTCTCTAAGGGGTTTACTGAGTCAGCCTCTGGGACCCCAACAATCTGGGTCCTCGTTTTACCCACCTCGGGAGGAGGGAAGGAGAAGTCAACCTTGAACCGGTCAGGATCGAACTCCTGGCAGTGGGCAGAGTCAGCTTGCAATACTGCACTCTAACCACTGAGCCACCACGGCTCTATAAATTATGGTAGTTTGGCTCTATAAATTATAAATACAGGTAGCTCTTGACTTACGACAATTGAGCTTACGATTTACGACAACTGGGCACCTCAGAACCCCTCTGCAGGAAACAGATTTTTCTTTAAAACATTCATTTTGATATCTTGGTATTATTTATATAGAAAGAGACTATCTCTCCGTAGCAACCCTAAACCGGTATATTTAACAGCGACTAAAATCTAGTAAATATAACACAATCTATATATGCCTGCCATCAGCATTAAATGCTGATCTGATCAGTAGTCCTTGACTTACAACAATTCACTTAATGACCATTCAAAGTTACAAAGGCACTGAAAAAAGTGACTTATGACCATTTTTCTCACTTACAACCGTTATGGCACGCCCATGATCATGTGATCGAAATTCAGATGCTTGGTAACTGATTCATACTTACGACCGTTGCTGTGTTACAGGGTCATGTGATCCCCTTTTGCGAACTTTTGACAAGCAAAATCAATGGGGAAGCCAGATTCATTTAACAACCTAACTTATCAACTGCTGGGATTCACTTAACAACCGTAGCAAGAAAGGTCATAAAATGGGGGCAAACCGCACTTAACAAACGTCTCACTTAACAACAGAAATGTTGGGCTCAATTGCGGTCGTATGTCGAGGACTACCTGTAATTTATTGATGTTCAAAGGAAAATAACTTTTCCACCCAACGGAAATGTTTAATTTCTGTATATTTGTAATTTTCGATAATGTTTACAGCATAAACATGTTGCGTCCCTTTCTGGATCGGGATGCCTTACGCACGGTCACTCATGCCCTAGTTACCTCCCATATGGACTACTGTAATGCTCTCTACATGGGGCTCCCCTTGAAAAGCACCCGGACGCTCCAACTAGTCCAGAATGTAGCCGCGCGGGTGATTATGGACGCAGCTTGTTACGCCCATGTAACACCTCTCCTACGCGAGCTGCACTGGCTCCCGGTGGTCTTCCGGGTGCGATTCAAGGTGTTAGTTATCACCTTTAAAGCGCTCCATGGCTTAGGACCTGGGTACCTACGAGACCGTCTTTTGCCACCAATAGCCTCCCACCAACCAGTTCGTTCTCACAGGGAGGGACTACTCAGGGTACCGTCAGTCAAATTATGCCGACTGGCGACTCCCAGGGGGAGGGCCTTCTCTGTGGGGGCTCCAACCCTTTGGAATGAACTGCCTCCGGAGATACGGAATATCCCTGATCTCCGGGCTTTCCGCTGTGCCCTCAAGACCCTGATGTTCCAACAGGCAGGGCTAAACATATGAACATGTGAATGATTTTTTAAATGTTATCTAATTCTGAGTTTTATTTAATTGACCAAACTAAGTAATAATTTTAATTAGCAATTTTATGATGTTTGTGTGTCTATATTTTTCTTGACTGAACACCGCCTTGAGTCCTACGGGAGAAAGGCGGTATAGAAATATAATAAATAAATAAATAAATAAATAAATAAATAGGTCGACATGTAATGGCTTTGCCCTCTTTTTAAACCACCAGTCCTTGGCACAATATTAACGTTTGCACGATTAAAGAACAAAGGAGGTGTAATACATTTTAGTTCATGTACTGAGCCATACATAATTAATCTGTTCAATGTTCAAACTGCATTCTAATGATAGCAAGGACTGTCCATTTCTTAGCTAAGGCTAACTGAAGTATAAAACATACACTCATATATCTGTATCATATACAATGACCAAAAATCAAATAAAAATATACATTTTCTCTATAAAAATAGAATTAAAATAAATAAAGTACAGTACTAGAATGCAAATATACTAGGATAATGGACTTTCAAATGCAGTTGTAAGCTACTTAGCCCAATGATACTTACTCCCAGGTAAACGTGGATACTACAGCCACATAAAGTTACATATTTTTTTAAAAATAAGTGACAAAGAGAACTCCGGCTATATATTCTCTACAATGTGATGTCTAATCTGGATTCAGCTTCAGCAGGAGTCTGAAATAAATCCTATATTACGCTCCTATTCTAAAACCCAGCAAGGACACACACACACACACACACACAAAAAACTAACCGTCATAAATACCGATCCAGATTACAATTAAACAACAAAATAAACCTCCAGGGAAAATATCTGGCTGCTCGTTTTAGCCCTTTCTTTCTTTCTAAAACCCTACACGTTCATCTTAGTCTCTTTTTTCAAGGCGTTTTGAATACAGATGAGCCATTGCTCATCTGTATTTACTCAGGCAGATTACTGATTAAAATGTAAAAAATAAATAAATACATGTTTAAAACGCTGGCGAGCAACCCAGAGTTTCGGCTGCCCAGAATTTTTGCAGCTTTTCAATGATGGAATGAATATATATATATATATATGAATGTTGGGGGGGGGGGGTTTGCAAACAACTACCCGGCACAGCTCGTTCTGAACAATGAGAAAGCAAAGCGACCTGCATGGAACGAGGGTTGGTACTTTTTCTTCTTCAACGGCTCCATCCTCAGCATCTGGAACCTCTAGCAGATGTGGATTCTGGATGTTCTCCCTGGTGAACTCCAAGGTGGGCACTTCCGATGTGGATGCCATTGGCCGAGAAAAGGGATCGGGCAAACCCTGTGGCTTGGACCTCTGGGAACCGAGAGATGCCAGAGAGGGAGGCAGGCTGTTCGCATTTAGAAACTTTCTCCCACCGGCAGCTGCGGGGTATCTTCCGTCCCAGAAGTCTCCTTCGCGACCGACGTTAGGATGAGGAGGGAGCCGCTGCTGCTGCTGCTGCTGCCCAAACCACCTCCATCTGAGCTTTAAAAGCTGCTTCATGTCAAATTCTCTACGCGAGCCAGACATCCTCAGCGAGAGCAAGCAATCGTCTAGGCAACGGGCACAACCAGCGGCGCACAAAAGGATTGGTGCAGCCAACCAGGAGGAGAGAAACACATGGTCTGCCTGTACAAAGCTAGCTAGCTTTCTTTCTTTCTTTCTTTCTTTCTTTTTCTTTCTTCCTTTTTCTTTCTTTCTTTATCCTTTCCTTCCTCCCTCTCCTTCCTTTTCCTTCCTTTCTTCCTTTCTCCCTCCCTTTTTTCCTTCTCCCTTCCCATCCCCTCCATCCATCCTTCCTTCATTCCCTCATTGCTAGTCCCTTCCTTCCTTCCTTCCTTTCCTTCCTTTCCTTCCTTCCCCTCCTTTCCTTCCTTCCCTCCCTTCCTTTCTTCCTTCCTTCCCTCCCTTCCTTTCCTTCCTTCCTTCCTTTCCTCCTTCCTTTCCTTCCTTCCTTCCTTCCTTCCTTCCTTCCTTCCTTCCTTCCTTCCTCCTTCCTTCCTTCCTTTCCTTCCTTCCTTTCTTCCTTCATTCCCCTCATTGCTATCCTTCCTTCCTTCCTTCCCTTTCCTTCCTTCCCTTCCTTCCTTCCCTTTCCTTTCCTTCCTACCTTCCTTCCTTCCTTTCCTTCAACAGCAGTCAGCATAAAGATTTGTAAAACCAACCAGGAAAGAAACACATTATCTGCCTGTATACAGCTTTCTTTCTTTCTTTCTCTTCCTTTCTCTTTCTTTTTCTTTCTTTCTTTCTTTCTTTCTTTCTTTCTTTCTTTCTTTCTTTCTTTCTTTCTTTCTTTCTCTTTCTTTCTTCCTTCCTTCCTTCCTTTTCTTTTTTCTTTTCCTCCCTCCCTCCCTCAATAAGATTGCATCTAGATAAATTGCATCAAAGTTAGGAAATCCTCTTATCTTAAGAGGAGGAAAGCCTAATTGAAAGAAAATAATGCAACGAGAAAAACGCCTTGCTGCTTTTATCAAGAGTTAAAGCTACACAAAGGCAGGCACCGTGTTATGTTCTTGCCAGTGGTTTCATCCTCTTAACATTACTTTTAAGGAGCCCTAGTTTTAATTTGATTTAATTACACGTGCTGAAGGAGTGGGCTAGGAAGGCAGGGAGCTACGATTTTAAAAGCCAGCAAAAAATTTTGCTTTTGTAAAGACCTCGCATATAAAAACATACCGTAATTTGAAATGAATGGATTGTAAATCGAGAACTACCTGAATAATAATCTTTCAAAGCTTTTGAGGAACAGCTGACAAAAGAAGTAACAGACCACAAAGCCACACAGAAAGAAGATGGAAACAACTGCAGTACCCTATATGAGAACACAGAATAAAAGAGTTGGAAGGGACCTTGGAGGTCTTCTAGTCCAACCCCAGACTCAGGCAGGAGACACTATACCCATAATGACGAACCTATGGCACGCGTGCCACAGGTGGCACACGTAGCCATATCAGTGGACACGTGAGCTCAGCTCTAAGGTCTTCTGGGCCCACCAGAAGTAGGGAAACAGGCTATTTCCTGCCTCTGGAGGGCCTGGAGGTGGAGGAAAGGCCTGTTTTTCTCCCTCACCTGGCTCCAGGGCCTCTCTAGGAGTCTGGGGAGGGCAAAAACGGCTTTCCGGAAATTGTCAAGCGGGCCGTTTTCGGCCACTGGAGGAGCTCCAGGGGTGGTGGTGGGGAAGGCCGTTTTTGCCCTCCCCAGACAGGCCCTGGAGCCAGGTGAGAAGAAAAATGAGCTTATCGGGCCATTGTGTGCCAGGAGCGGGGGGGGGGGAGGGGGGGTCTTGCACGCATGCGCGGGATGCATAGAATTATGGGTGTGGGCACATGCGCACATAACCCCCCCACCCCACGCCTCCTGGCTTGCAATGGCAAAAAGGTTAGCCATCACTGCACTACACCATTTCTGACACATGGTTGTCCAATCTCTTCTTAAAACCTTCCAGTGTTGGAAGCATTCACAATTTCTGGAGGCACGCTGTTCCGCTGATCAATTGTTCCAACGATCAAGAAATTTCTCCTTAATTGCTTCTCTCCTTGATGAGTTTCCATCTGTTGCTTCTTGTCAGGTTGGCTGACTCCTGGTGGGCCTGTGGCATTTGTTGTGGCTCCGTTACCGGAGCCTGTGTCATCGGCAGGAGAGGACTCTGAGAGTGAAGGAGAGGAGTTGGCAAGGCCTCCCTCTCCAGGACCCTCCTCTCTGGCAATGCCTTCGGTGTCCGCCGAAGGGCAAGAGATAGGGCCGGGGCCAAGCACGTCCACGCAGCCACAAATGGACAGTGATGAGGGTAATGAGTCTTGGCTGGATCCACGCCAGCGTCACAGAGATAAGTGCGCGCAACAGAAGAAAAAGCGTGTCTGAGATTAGGCTGAGTCACTGGACCACACCCCAAAGGATATAAAAGGGAGTGTGGTGGCCAGTCAAACCTTGTGACGAACAAAGCTGAAAGCTTCCACGCCATTCTGCATTGCCGGACTTTTTGCTATAGATGTTGCTGGATTATCTCTGGACTTGATTGACTCCGTAATTATTGAGCTGTTTCTTTTGATGTACCAGGAGTGGGGAGAAGTTATCTCTCCTCTTCGTAAATAATAAACTCTTGGCAGCAGCCACTAGGTTGTTGCCAAGTTCCGTTATCATAAGGAAAAGGATTTTGCCGGCTGGTTTGGTCTTTAACGCTTGAACGTCTGTTGGTGTGTGTGCGTGTGGTTGGGGACAGAACAGGCATTCTCCTGGGAAACGCCTTTAGCTTTCTCCTGAAGTTTTCTTCAAAGATTGACTCAATCTTCTCCCTGTGGCCCAAGCTCTGAAGGAATAGTCTGAGAGGTTTTTGGAGAAGACTGAAGTGAGGCACTTTGGACAACTGCCTTTGATTTTGCATCACAAACTAGCTCCAAAAGAATCCAAAGTTTTCCTTGATGCAAAGCAGACCTTCAAAGCTTCATAGTACCCAAATGTTTTAAGTCCAATCCGGCAAACATCCAAACTATATCACTGCTACTTTAAACAAGGATACAGAATCTTTCTAGAGCAGAATCTCTTTGCCAAAAAATGGATAGAACTGAGCTATAACAGACCACAAAGTTTTGAGTTAAATTTTAATTGATTTTAAATTGGGTTGTTTTAAATTACGGCCAAAAAATATTTAATCATTTTAAACTGCTTTTAAATTTTGTATGTTCTGCTTTTATTTCAGCTGTTCACCGCCCTGAGTCCTATTGGAGAAGGGCGGTATATAAATGGAAACAAATAAATAAATAAATAAAATAAATAAGCTAACCTTTATCAATAGAAGAAAATATACATAACCCAGGATCGAACTGAGAAATCCCTGGTATTTTGCTTGCAAGCATCTTGCTTGCAACTAATCAAATATAAACTAAGCTTACATTAAACCTAAATAAAATATAAGCTAAGTAAAATATAACCCATAAACTAAATAAAAGCTAAGTATACTTTAATTCAAATTACCTTTAGTAAAAAATCAACGTAGCTAAATATTTCTCAAAATAATACTCTTTAATGCCAAAGAGGATACCTTTATGTTTGTGTCTATTCACGTAAAAATATTATGGCTTATTTCCTTTGAGATTCTCTCACAAGTCCGAATCTTCAGATCAGCAATGCCCATTAAAAAGTAACATTCAAACGGCAATTAAAAATCTGCATTTTAGTCTAAACAACTTTCTACCCAAATATTTTCCGTAACAAATTGGTCCTTCATAAACATTCTGAAAAGTACTGAGGCAAATTTCAATCAAGTTAATATCTTCCATGTGTTTTCATTTCGTAAGTGCAAGATATATTTTGGACTACTCATCGTGTTTTACAAAGATTGCATCATTTCATGCAATAGTGAGTTTTTGGGATCAAGGCTTGGCCTGCACGTAGCTGCCATAGACAATTTTCTCCGTTCAAGACAATTTATTTCAGACTTCATGATCAAAACCATATTTACTTGACTACAAATTCCGAAAGAGAAAAAAAAAATTCCCAACCCCACAAGTACAAGTTAGATGCAATTAAACGTATTTAAATCGAGCAATTATATGTTCCACTTACCATAAATCAAGTCAACTGTGTTGTATATTGTTCTATATTGCTAAACAAATTAGGGTATAACTATGAATTAGGATATAACCAAAGGCCATAAAATGTGTTTCATCCTCAGATTTATGACATGCTAGCTAGCAGAAATATGGGAAGACGTAATATGATTGCACATCTTTAAATGTTTAGTTTAGTTTACTGTCACGCATTGCAACACAGAATTTGGAACTGACATTAAAGATTCTTCATGGAATCTTACTTATGGTTATTCAAAAGATAGTTTTGTGCTTCAAATCAACCTGAATCTAAATTCACAAGGGGGTTTGGTGCAGCATTTTTATTAGCATTTTTCTACGACCTTCTTATAGCTGAAAAGTGACTGATCAGAGTCCAGCCCTGTCTTTGTGTCTAAGGTAGGACTAAAATTCACCACTTCCTGTTTTCTAGCTTGGTGCTTTTAACCACCAGCTTTCTATTCAACAGATGAAGGTACGATAAGAATTAACATCCAATGAAAAAGTATATGATGTTGATGAGTTCCAGACAAAAATGGATAAACCTGAAAATAACCTATAGAACCAGAACAAAACCAATATCTTAATTCGAGTAAGGTAGCAGTATTCTAGTATTTGAGGGGCTGCCAGAAAGAAGAACGGGTCAACTTATTCTCCAAAGCACAAGAAGACAAGAAACGATGGATGGAAACTAATCAAGGAGAGAAGCAACCTAGAAATGAGGATAAATTTTCCAACAATGAGGACATTAACCAGTGGAACAGCTGGCCTCCAGAAGTTGTGAATGCTCCAACACTGAAAGTTTTTAAGAAGATGTTGGATAACCATTTGTCTGAAGTGGTGTAGGGTTTCCTGCCTAAGCAGGGGGTTGGACTAGAAGACCTCCAAGGTCCCTTCCAACTCTGTTATTCTATTCTGTTTTTAGATTGCAACATTCACTTAGGTGGGCGCGAGCTCCAATAAGCTCCATAGGATTTACTGTTGAACAGAGCGTATAGGATGAGTTACTCCCATATTCAATCATCCTCTCTGTGCATCTTTAACTAAACGCTCTGCCTGAAAAAAAGACAGTTCAAATCTAA